GGAGACCAGATAGGGTCCTGGGTTTAGTAATACTTTAAGGTCAACATTCAACTATACAAACAATCCGGAAGAAAGGCATCCAACAGGGAACACTCACAGGTTGTAGCATCAATGTGGAACGGAGCAGGTCTTGGACGTGCCGACAGAGGGCAGAATGCAGCCTGGCTGGTCGGCACTCATATAGGAGGATTCCAAGAAGGATGTGTCTATCCTGTTCCTACCACTATTCACTTCTCCTGACAGATGGGTGACCTGTCCCTACGCTACCCACTTGCAAATACACCCAAACCTGGGAGCCATGGTCCTAAATAGACTCTGCCTCGTCCAAGTTGGCCACCAGAGTCACATATACAGCCTGTATGACAGCCCCTGATACACCCTGCCTGACAGGGCTGGACCCACTCCACCCCACACAGAGAAGGCATCTTAAATACCTTATTGTGTCCGCATAGAAATCCCACCAGCCATATCTCCCAGTAATAAAATAAAAGCCCCACCAGTTCAGCATCACAAGCCAGGGATAGAGAGGGGAATATTTACTCATTTTAGGGATCAGGCCACTCGCGAAAAATTAAAGCACCAGCTTGTCCCAGTGGACTGATATAGAAGAGGCCATAACTTTAATTAAATTGTCAGGAGTTACGGCATGGAGAATTACCCTGTGTGCTCCCTAAAGTTAATAAATTGTCCCCAGCTCCTGCTGCTGAATCAATGGGGCCAGAGAAACTTCTGAAATATTGGGAGCCATGGCCTGTGGAATTACTGTGCATGTGCCTGAAGATATTTAACCACTTCCATTGCGGACACTTTTACCCCCTTCCTGACCAGGGCAATTTTCAGCTTTCAGTGCTATCACACTTTGAATGACAATTGAGCGGTCATGCAACACTATACCCATATGAATTTTTTACCATTTTTTTTAAGACAGATAAAACTTTATTTTGGTCGTATTTATTTATTTTTTTTGCTATGTAAATGAAAATGTCCAAAAAAAGTTTGAAAAAAAGTGTTTTTCTTATAAAATTTTGCAAATAAATAATATTTCATCATAAATCTTGGCCAAAATTTATTCCGTTATCTTTTTAGTAAAAAAAAAAAAAAAATAAGCCAACTTACTTTATAACCAAAAATTATAATTTTTAAACTTTTTTTTACATTTTTATTTTTTTTTTATATATTATTATTTATTTTAATATTATTATTATTTTTTTTTACATACGGTCACCCTAGCAGTACAGTGTCACCATGGTGACACTGTACTACTTTTGGGGGGTGATGAAGATTTTTTTTTTTTTTTTTTTTTACACTGATTGCTTTTACACCCATATGGGATATAAAAACAAAAATTTCTCTTTCTCTCTGCCTGCATTCTTGCAGCCATTGAGAACTACTGAGTGAGCTGTGATTGGTCACAGCTTGTCACATGGTACAAGGCTGTTGTGAATAGCCTTGTACCATGTGACCTCTGTGATCATTCACAGATTTCACATGTAGTAAATGGGTGGGTTCGATTTCCGTCCATGGCACCTCCTGCATGGAGTTTGCATGTTCTCCCTGTGCTTGCGTGGGTTTCCTTCGGGTGCTCCGGTTTCTTCCCACACTCCAAAGACATGCTGGTAGGTTAATTGGATCCTGTCTAAATTGGCCCTAATGTGTGTATGTATGAATGTGAGTTAGGGACCTTAGATTGTACACCCCTTGAGGGTTAGGGACTGATGTGAATGTTCAATATATATATGTGTAAAGCGCTGCGTAAACTGACAGCGCTATATAAGTACCTGAAATAAATAAATAAATAAATAAATAATAGTAAGCAATGATGTCAGAAGTGACATCTTGCTTACTACTTTGCATGTGATCACTGATTGGCCAATCAGTGATCACCAGATCAAGACCTCGTACAGAGGTCCCGTACAGCGATCGGTGTTCCGCTGTGTCCTCCAGACATAGTGGGCACCGGATTGCGGTGCCACGAGCTCCCAGGGAACGCGGACAAGCAGGTCATGCAGGAGGACGTTTATAAACGGCCACCCAATTCTGCACTGCTCCTGTCCGGCCATTTATGTATGATCGTGTCCGGAGACGATCGGTGTTTCACTGTGTCTGGAGGACACAGCGGGCACCGGATCGCGGTGCTGCACGCTCCCAGGGAGCACGCAGAAGCAGGGTGTGGGGAGGCCGTTTATAAACAGCCACCCGCCCCTGCACTGCCACCATCCGGCCATTTATATACAACGGCCGGTCGGGAGTGGTTAAAGAGTCCCCTTTCAGCACCGAGATCGCCTGAGGAACTAATGGAGCCTGGGCATAGTGCACGAGCGCTGGCTCTACCCTTACTAAGAGCGGCCCTGCATGTGAGATAGGGACTTTAGATTATAAGCTGCTTGAGGACAAGGACTGATGTCAACATATAGTATGCACATTGACTTCAACTGCATAAATTGTCGGTGCTTTCAAAATACTTGTAATCTATAAGCCATCAGTATGGCTGAAAAAAGATAAAAATCCATTCAGTTCAACCATAAAAAAAAAAAGTTATAATCCTATACCCACAGTTGATCAATTACCTCCTTATATTTCTAATTCAGTATATTTTCCTGTATCAGCATTCATGCCCATATGTACTTTCCAATATTCATGCCAAATAAAGTTTTATGAGCCGTAACATGTCTGAAGACTATATACCATTTGCTTACTGTAATGAATGAAATCGCAGCTGAATTAATATCTTCAGCACCACTGAGACTGAATCACATTTTTTTCCTTCCTTTTTTACCTCTTGCACATGTGGTTTAATACAAAGGAGCTACGAGTAGCATGCAACATATGCTACCTATGCTATATATAGTTCCCGATGAGGCAAGCAATTATTTTCAATGAACACCACTCTGCACACACCATGAAGCATTATTGTAAGCACCATTGTAAAGATACTGAAGTACACAGCAAGGAGTCATTTACAAGGAATAAGGGGAGGAGTACAGAAGACAATTGCTTGCATCCGCCCAGTTATCAAACAATACATGTGATTTGAATCATCTTGAGTTGTGCTGTGGGGAGGGTGTATTGGCTATACATGTGGGGGGTCATGAACAGAGATCAGTGCAAGTAGATAGGACAAGGGCTTGGTTTTGGAGAGTCTCATTTGCACTACAGGCTTAGTTATCATAGACTAAAATTAAACCCATTTAATATCATGTGGACATGTTTAGGTAGCACTGAACAGATGTGCCAGGAACATGCCAAAGGAAAAGCTCACATAACATGTGATGGGTGTTACTGAGCTGCATTGTGACTTATAGGGCACATTCACATGGGATCAGAGAGCTGTACACCATGAAAAAATGAGTGTATATCTGTGCCTGGAAGTGATAGGTGTTAGTGTACAGCTGTCTGTACAAACCAATGACAGGCAGTAGCTGTACGCTGGTAAAGACATGTCCATGCATTTACATGCATGCAGGGAAGGGTATGTGACCCAGATGTGAATAGTGTGTGTCCAGGACTGCTGATCTATCCCTGTACATAAGGAAATGCTAGGGTGTGTGGTTACCAGAGTATAGCCACAGCCTGTCATTGATTTGTAGGGATTTTTTTTTTTTAAGTCCGCAAACGTGCAACTATAACGTAAAAACCCGTAAGTGTCCGCAAAAAAGTGCAAGTGCAAGAACACACACACGAAAAACGTGCACTTAGGGGTGTGTTTGTCCTACCCCCGAAAGGGTTGGACCGTTCACCCCGATCCCCCCCGGGGCACAAAGCTCCTGACAGGGACAAGGTTCCCATTTGGTCCTCCTGGCCAAAAGGCCTGGTGGACCACCGTTCCTTATGCCCAGCCGAAGCCGGACATCCAGTACTAGGCAAGGGGGTTCTCCCGAAGAGAAAACCCCCTAGGGATCAGGGGAGGAAGGAACCGTATGGCCACACATCCTCCCCCTAGACTTCAGGTAAGGCCCGAGGACCCACACCCTCCATCCGTGAAAAACACACACATAAGAAAGCAAAAAGTGACAAAACGTGGGAGTGATTTAAATAAATAGAATAAAATAAAAAAGTGGTACCGTGCCTAATAGTGCACAGACCCAGGCCCTGAGGCCTGTAGCAAAAATTGCCCTGGACTTAGCCAAAAGACCTGGTCCTTAGGGCGCTGTGCAAAAAGAGGTGAAAAAACAGTGGCCATGTGTCATCTTCACACCGTGGGGTCCCACACCCAAGTGTTACTAGTGACACCCCTGAGAGCGTCTTCCCCAGGGGGCACTGAGTTTGCGGACTTTTTGCGTCCCCGACCCCAGGCCAGACCAAGGTAGCATGCTCAAACCAGGAGGAAACTGGGTCTTTCCGGTCTCCCCAGAGGAATTACTCCCAAGGCCCCAGAACGAATCATGGCGCTCCCTGGTTTCTGTCCCTCCGGTACTAGCCTTCCGGACCCCCATCATACCAGTGAGGGTACTGTACAACAACCATCCCCGTAAACTAGAATGGTCGGTAGCACCCCCACTGGACACTGATAAGAACAGATACTACACTTGATCTTAGCCAAAAGGCCGAGAAGCGATATTGATTTGTAGGGATTGCTGTACACTAACACCTAGCACTCTCAGGTACCCAGGGCAGGTGCTTCCACTAGGTAAACTAGGCAGCTGCCTAGGGCGCACTGCTACCTAGGGATGCCTGGGCGTAGCTCAGACTGGCACTCTCTCTGTGTGGGAAGCCACCACATCATGAATGATCCTCCAGCTGAGGGGAGGGGTGGCAGAGGAGAGGAAGAAAGGACAGAGGAAGATGCCGGGTGTCTGATGCCAGTGTATCAGCTGAGCTGCTGCTCCTTCCAGTGTTCCTCTTAGACTCAGTCCCTTACTGCAAGCCAGCTGGTGGCTGCTGCTCACTGTGGAGTTACAGCCCTACTCTTCCCATTCATCAGCAGGTGGAGCCACGCCTGCGGAGCAAGGTGTCTGATGTCTTGTGTCTGTGTGAGGGTGGCCCAGCTAGCCATCCATCACATGTGCAATGTGTCAGTGAGTGATGACATCATCACGATCCCATTGCCTGCTCTTCTAATGCCTGCTGGGCCTGCTGATCTGTGTCAGTGTTGGTGGTGGCGTGTTGTGTTGGATCTGTCACTGTGTGGGATTGCTCAGTTCAGGTGTTCTCTCTGTGTGTGTGGGCTGCCTGCTGTCACAACATTTTATCTCCCCTCTGTGCCTGGGAAATTCCAGCCTAGGATCTGTCAGAGTGTGGATCCATCATCCTCCACTCACTGCAGTTGTCCCCCTGCCACTGCTAGCCTCATATACAGTTCATCCGTGTCACTGATTTTGTCTTTAATATTGGTGCTGGTGGCATCTTATGGCACTTATTTTTGCAAATTAAAAGAAATGTAGCAGTTTCATGTTTTGTTGATTTAATATTTTCTACTGTTTATAAATGTTTTTATTTGTTGAATGTTTTGTTGATTTGATATTTTCTACTGTTTTGTATTTATTTATTTATGGGGGGGGGGGTGCAAGTAGCTGGTCTCGCCTAGGGAGCAAAATAGTCTAGTACCAGCACCACAGGTACACCAAGGCATCATTCACATGGGTGCAGGGAGCATTGCACCATGAAAAACAAGTGTATCCTTGTGCCTGGAAGTGATAGGTGTTATTGTACAACTGGAAAAAAGCATACAGGTGGCACAAACACCTAGTGCATTATCCAAGGTTTCTTAAAAATATACAAGAACAAAAAATATACTCATAACGTCAGTCACAGAGTGCATGTGTGTGTGTGAGGAGAGACAATCTGCTCTAGGAGCTGCTGGGCCGGACCCAGGGAACAAATCAATCATCTGAGAGTGCTGAGGGGGGACAAGCAACGCCAATTCCACACAAGGTGGCCGGGAACAGCTGGGCAACGACTGATTTATAGAGCCCACCCGATCCACTGCAGTATCCAGAGGAGGGAGTTCCTGTCACACAGGCTGCTACACCCATCCACCCCTTAAAGGGGACCTCTGGCTGACTGGATCCCATACTGCCCAGGAGTATCTGACGTACCACACACCACCCAGAGGGAGGATTATCCTAGACCTGGCTTAAATCCATTTCCTAAAAAGGGGACCTCTGTTGATTGATTTAATGCGTAATACCATTACGCATCTGGTGAGTGCGTATTCTTACCCCACTGTTTCGCAGCACACCAGCACTGAAGTATCGCTGCAATTCACAACATATTTGCACAGATTGTCACTTGTGGATTGTTACTATTTTGATGACATTCATTGATTATTTATGTGGACATTTTTTACTGATTTATTTTTAAGCGCTGCACTTTCTTACTTTGTTATTGATTTGTACAGGCGGCTGTACACTAACACCTGCCGCTCCCAGATACACTAAGGGCTCATTCACACAGGTACAGAAAGCATTACACCATGAAAAAACTGGCATATCTCTGTATCTGGGAGTGATAGTGTTAATGTACAGCTTCCTGTACAAATCAATGACAGGCTACGGCTGTCCACTGGTAACCACACACTCTAGTGTTTCCTTATGTACAGGGACAGACAAGGGTTAAGATAAGACCCTATTTCCATCTGAGTCACACACCCTAAGGCAGGCCATAGACAGGCCATTTATCTGCCGAATTTTCGGCCGATAATCGAAAAAATCGGTCGGGTCGGCCCCCCCCGTTGCCAATGCTGCCACCCATGTCCGCGAAAACGGCCGTTTTTCATGGATTTTCCAGCATGACCGATAAAAATAAATGAGGAGATCTGCAAAAAACGGCCGACGGGCTGGCCCCACTAACGGCATGATTATCAGCCGATTTTTCATGCGGACGAAAAATCGGCTGATAAACGACCCATTTATGGCCTGCATAAATGCTTGGACATGCCTTTACCAGCCTACAACCACAGCCTGTCATTGATTTGTACAGGAGGCTGCACCTGTCACTCCTAGGCATAGGGATACACTCATTTGTCATGGTGTAATGCTCTCTGTACCTGTGCGAATGAGCCCTTATTGTTCCTAGGAGTGATAGGTGTTAGTGTATAGCTATCTGTACAAATCAATGACAGGCTGCAGCAATACACAATGGTAACCACACACCCGAGTGTTTCCTTATGTACATTCTCTCTGCACCTGTGTGAATGAGCCCTTAGTGTTCACTAGCACTGAGAGTCAAAGCTGTCACTGCTGACCTTTTTTGGCAATGCTAATCACCTGGCAGTATCTGATTGACTCAGAAGAAACATATTGAAGGTTAGGCCAGAATGCCTGATTTGCAAGCTTGTTCCAAACCAGTGACACAAACACTGTTGTGGCTGCAAATCATATTGAAAGCCAGGCAACTAGCATTTTAACCACTTCCCGTCCAGCCCATGTACATAAACGGCCGGACAGGAGCAGTGTAGAATTGGGTGGCCGTTTATAAACGTCCTCCTGCATGACCTGCCTGTTCGCGTTCCCTGGCACCGCAATCTGGTGCCCACTATGTCTGGAGGACACAGCGGAACACTGATCACTGTACGGGACCTCTGTGTGAGGTCCCGATCATGTGATCCCTGATCGGCCAATCAGTGATCACATGAATAGTAGTAAGCAAGATGTCACTTCCTGACATCATTGCTTACTACTAGTGAAATCTGTGAATGATCACAGAGGTCACATGGTACAAGGCTATTCACAACAGCCTTGTACCATGTGACAAGCTGTGACCAACTGTGAAGAAACCTTTCCGTATTTGGAGATTAAATTTCTTTTCCTCCAGACGTAAAGAGTGCCCCTTGTCCTCTGTGATGACCTCAGGGTGAATAGCTCTACACCGAGTTCACTATATGAACCACTGATGTATTTATACATGTTGATAATATCCCCCCTTAATCTCCTCTTCTCAAGAGAAAATAAATTCAGTTCCTCTAATCTTTCCTCATAGCTGAGCTCCTCCAGTTTGGTAGCCCTTCTCTGTACTTTCTCCAGTTCCCCAATGTTCTTTTTATGAATTAGTGCCCCAAATTAAACTGCATATTCCAGATGAGGTATTACTAATGATTTGTACATGGGTAAAATGATATCTCTCTCTCTGGAGTCTATACCTCTTTTAATACAAGAATAAAACAATGTGTTTCACTGTCCGGTCTAGTGTGAGTGAGCCCTTCTGCTTTTGTTCTTTTTTCCGCAAGTAAAGAGAGGCAGACAGATAAGGCAGAACTAAGGGAAAATGTTAACATGAAATATAAGTAAGAGACTTCAGCGCTGCCATCTTTGAAGCCAAGTACACATGGCCCAAATGTCAGGTGGTATCGGCCGGTTCAACATTCAGTCCTGTGTGTAGGACAGGCAGTCTGACAGAAGCCAGCTTCTGTTGAAAGGGCATGGCCAAAAAGGTCTGCCAATCAGCTCCTGATCAGCGCTCTTAGCCAATGGCGGGGGGGGGGGGGGCTGTCCCTCCCGTCAGAACACAATAACACAGCAGGGGAGATAGCTGTACTAACATTGGATAGTTAGTACAGTGGCTGTTCCTCAGCTGTTGGTTTTTTTTTGTTCAGCTTGTTGGGTTGAAAAAAAAAACTAGTAGTGTGTACTAGGCTTTAGTCTGCGGCCCACGGCACTGACACATAATTGCTGGATGGTGGATAGGGCTTTGAAGGTAAGTGCTGAAAATTATCAGAATTCTGACTATATATTGCAGTCTGAAGGGAGGAGTTGATGGAAAATCTTTTCAACCCATTTTGAAAGTCTGATCCATCAGTGTCTAGCTTACTTGACTGCCAAGTGTGGCCATGACATGGTTAACTCAGCATTATAATTATGCATGCATTGAGTTAGCGTGACTTACATACATACAGTGTTTTAAAGTCAGTCTAGGCCTTATTTAAATATTCTCACCTTATAGTTGGGCTAAAAATAGCTCCAAATACCTATTGATTTCCCATAGAATACTAAATGGCCAGGCTGAAAAATTACTTTCTACAATGATTGCATTGTTGCACAGGGTCATTATCTTTCAATGCTATCCTATAGCACAAACAGCTTAATTCATTAAATCCGACCTTCCAGCACTTGGGTGTAACAACTAGATCAACCTTTTTCTCAACCTTTTCATCCTTGAGGAACCCTTGAAATAATTCTCAGGTTCTCGGGGAAGCCCTCCTAAAAAAGTTAACACCTACAGCTCCTGGTACATTAGCGTGACCAATAGGCTGAAGAAAGTTTTAAATAAAGGAATAAGTAATGCGGTGTTCCTAGTGGATTAATATTCTTAAAGCATATAATAACTGAAGAAAGGAACAGCACACAGTAAAATTTGTGGTGTCCTCTAACATTACTTTTCAGTATAGACCTGACCCCTTACATAGGTGAACTCCAGGGCTCCACATAACTCTGGTAGTTACAGTAGTTTAAAGGTGAAATTTTAATGGATTTGGGTAAACTGATGCATGCGTCCCATGTTAACATAGGTACAATGATTGTATTAGGACACAGGATTCATGAAGATGAAGAGGTGTGTGCAAGATACAGAGGACCTAGAAGCCATGATGTATAGTCATACTTTGCACATGCTTCTTGGAAAGTGGTAGGCAGGCTGGGCAATAGGAAAGGTGGCTTGGGAGATGAAAGGTTTGCACCACCATTAAAGTGCACCTTAATGTTCACAACACAAACTGATTAGTAAAGCATGTTAACATCCATGTAAGTATACATTTCTCAAATCTGAGGGAATGCTATGGAGCTGGCAATCACTCTAATAGTCAGAGCTACTACAGTGATAGCCACAGGTCCTATGACGAGTGATGGTCTCATTGCACACTGACCACAGGGGGTTTCTAGCTTGGCAGCACTGCCATTCATAGAATGGCCTGTATTTTCTTTCATGAATAATTAGTCTTGGATTTTTTTTTTTAATATAATGGACCTCCAAGAACTTCTTTGCGTAATGTCCTACCATGCATTCCATACTAGCACATTATGGCAGACTAACTCGTCAAATGAAGCCAAAAGGGCTACACTGTCAGGGCTCCCACTGGTCACAGCGCTTCTATCTTCTTCCAACTGGTCTTCCTTCTAGGTTTGGTCTGTTCGGCTGCTTGAATGGCCTGACCACAATGGTGCCACTCCCATGCAGGTGCATAGGAGTCCCATCATCATGGCACAGATCGGTGGTATATTCATGCACAGCTTAGTGTACATTACAGATGAAAGGTAGGGAGTAGCATTTATAACAGAAGAGACCACATGTTATACTTACCTGCTCTGTGCAATGGTTGTGCACATAGCAGCCCTTATCCACCTCTTCTCAGGTCCCCCTCTGGCACTCCTGGCTCCTCCTCCCTTCTGAGTGCTCCTATAGCAAGCCTCTTGCTATGGGG